GGGAGGGGCGTCGGAATCGAAGTCGGCAGCAAGGGGGAAGGATGGTGGCGGAGAGGGGAAAGATGATCGGGATCGGGATACGATAAGCAAAGGGGATGGAGGTGGGAGGGAGAGGAGGGTGGGGGAAGGGAGTCGGAATCAGAGTCGGCAGCAAGCCAAGGGGAGGGAGCTGGGAGGGAGAGGAGGATGGGGGATGGGCAGAAGAGCTTCGGGATTGTTCTTTTTTTCTTTTTTTTTTGGCACCTTTCTGGTTATATTTCCCGCACGTGCATTCGGTGATGTGCGGGAAGATGCGCTGCTTTTTTTTTCCCGTCTGGCATATATGAAACTGCTTTGTTGCAAGCTGCTGTATCCTGGCCGGCCTTGCCTCAAGCAGTGATCATTGTGCAAACGACAATGGATCTCCTGCTCGGAACTGGGAACATGCGCACAAGGGGGCAGGATGAGAGAGAGAGAGAGAGAGAGAGAGAGAGAGAGAGAGAGAGAAAGCTGATCGGGGTGCCTTTTGCGCTGCGGGGGGTCCCCTTGTTCTTTGTAATGAACCCAGACTGGAAGATACTCGTCATACGTCGAAGTACAAGTTGACTCAGATCTGCACAGTCTCCAATAATCGTGAAAGTGATATCTGACACAATGTCTTGTTACCAATAGACGAAGAGAGTGGAGGGGGAATAGACAGATAAGAGGGTGGAAGAGAGAATCAATGACCACCAGAAGAGTAGCCCAAACATTACCCACTCCTCCTCCGGGCTTCCCCTCGCCTCCACGTCATCAATCAATATCCAGTAACAAGTCTGACAAGTCCTGATCACCTAGAAGTGCCACGTGACACTGTCATCTCAAGGAGACCATGAAGACAAACAGCAGTACACGGTATCGACGTCCGCCTCAGGTGAGTACCAGTTTCCCAATCATCCACAGATCCTGATCTCCCTCCTTGTCGCGACCAATCGCCTCATGTAGACAGCGTGGCCAGTGCCTCGTCAGCAATAGAGACAGGTGGCATGCGCCACATCAGCAATGTAGACAGGTGGCATGTGCCACATCAGCAATGTAGACAGGTGGCATGCACCACATCAACAATGTAGACAGGTGGCCTGCGCCACATCAGCAATGTAAACAGGTGGCATGCGCCACATCAGCAATGTAAACAGGTGGCATGCACCACATCAGCAATGAAGACAGGTGGCACACGCCACATGAGCAGAGGCTGGCGCTCAGCAGAGAAGGCACCAGCATGCTGCCACAGTCTCACGTCGTCGTCCACAGTGCCAGCGCACAACCAGCGTCGAGCCAGCGTCGAGCCAGCGTCATGTCAGCGTCAAGCCAGCGTCATGCCAGCGTCAATCCAGCGTCCAGCCAAGACTGAATGTTGACCTCCTGGAGACCAAGCCTTATGTAGTGTTGGCGAGGCAGTCTGGCCTCAAGTGTCCCACCCAAAGTCGTACAGATTGACTCACAGCCGAGGGCTTGGATTGTGTACAGTTGCAGACTTCCCCTTGGTCCTGATGCTGTCTGGATACCTGCATACAAACAAGTGTGTGGGTCTGACCGGCGGCCTGGGCTGGGTCCACTTTGACTTTTTGACTGTTGGGCGTCAGGCAGTTGACTGTAGTCAATAATCGCCCGCTCAGGCCCTGAATCTATGTAGAGGCCATTTTTCCTTTGGCCTGGGTCTGAGTATGGCCTGGTGAGGCCCTTAGACATTCCACGAGGCATACTACATGGGTTATTGCATCTTAGTTTCCTCTGGGGACTCGGTACTTGGTAGCATTGTCTCCATTCCACATCATATTGTCATAATTCATCTGCGATGCATCCCCATCATTGTTGACCGGGTGCTCTTTCATCTCATATATGGCCCTTTTGGAGGGGGGATGGGTGGGGGAGAGGGCGAAGAGATGGTTGGTAGAGGGGAAGAGAGAGAGAGAGAGAGAGAGAGAGAGAGAGAGAGAGAGAGAGAGAGAGAAAGAGAGAGAGAGAGGGAGAGGGGGGGGGGGGGGGGGGGGGGGGGGGGGGGGGGGGGGGGGGGGGGGGGGGGGGGTGTTGGTTGGGGGTTAGGGGCTCAGCTCAATGTCTGAGTCATATTGGGTCTCCTCTTGAAGCATGTCATGGCAAAGTTACCTCATGACAGCTTGAATTCAGAATCACTTGACTGAGGAGAGGATTATAGAGTTACGGTAAAGTTTCCTGATTAGGAAGATTCGACTTGTTATGTGAATGATGGGGGGAGTTGCTCAGCTCAATGTTTGAGTCCTATTGGGTCTCCTCTTTACTGCTTGAAACATGTCATGGCAAAGTTACCTCATGACAACTTGAATTCAGAATCACTTGACTGAGGAGAGGATTATAGAGTTACGGTAAAGTTTCCTGATTAGGAAGATTTGACTTGTTATGAGGATTATAGAGTTACGGTAAAGTTTCCTGATTAGGAAGATTTGACTTGTTATGTGAATGATGACAACCTGAATTCAGAATCACTTAAGTCGATGGAGGGGAAGAGAAACTTGAGCGATTTCTTATGGCACTGATGGTTTGAAGGGGAGAGTTTTTATTTTTTTGGGGGGGGGTGGGGGGTGGGGATCGCAGGGGTCGTGTCATGTGAGGGAGAAGGTGCTTGGTTCAATTGCAGTAACCCGTGTCTGCAGCAGTCTGGGCCCTCAAAACGGAGCCCAGACGACGCAGGCCAAATTCGGCCTGCGCCAGGCAGTGTGACCACACACTGCCCTTAGGAAGTCAAAAAGTCTGAGTCAACTGTCAGGTCAAAGGTACCTGCCCAGGCCGTTGGTCGGATGCACTCACTTGTTTGCGCAGGTACCCAAACAGCATCAAAGCCAGAAGGAATTCCGTTTTGGGCCAATCTGGGCCGTCTTTTGCATTGAGATCCAAACGGCTAAGGGATGCACCATCCGGGGTCCAGACCCCGCGTCAAGGCTACATAAGCGCTGACTTCCTGACTTTGACATTCATTCAGTCTTGCGTCAATGCTGACTTCACGTGTTGACGACGATGATGGCTCGGCGCTGCGACGCTGGTGAGACGCTGGCTTTGTGCTGGCACTTGGGTGATTACGGCGACGCGATGCTGGCTCAGCATGGTGGCTAGCTTGCTATTGTCTTCTGGGCATGCGGACGTGGC